GCTAAAAGAGCTTTTCCCCCTAAAAGAGCAAATTCGGGTGCGTCTTTCTAAAGACGACGTTGCTTGGCAAACTTGACGTTACGTCTTTATAAAGACGATGTGGGTCTTGCTATAGACAACGTATCACCCGGGCATTCTGGATGCGGTCGTTACCTGGCGCTGGGTGATGGTCACGATCGCTGCCTCTCGTGCCTGGGCATGAAGCACATTTTCGGTCAACGATTTGTGCCTAGAGTTCGGGCCGGCTGATTCCCAGGTAACCCTGAGGCCCCGGCATGGCTACGTGCCCAAGGTTCCCGCTACTCCCTTCAGGGATCAGGTGGTGAACCTCCAAGCGCTGCCCTCGGAGGAGGCAGACCCAGCCCTAGTTTTGCGCTGTCCCGTCCGAGCCTTGTAACCCTCGTTCCCTGAAGGAGGGAACGGAGACGTCACATCCCGTCACCACAGTTCCTGTACGACCGCTGAGCGGCCAGGTCACCGGCTCGGCTCCTCAGCGAAAACCTGAATATGCGCTGCACCTGCTGCCTACTTATACTCACGCTGTGATCAGCAGCAGTTGGATGCAATAATCGCATGCCAATGTGCATTGGCTCGTTTAGTTTACACTCGAAGTAGATTGGTCCCTCTAAGCGAGATCCCAATTTCGTCGGTCCTCCGACATGACGTCTCCGGTCCCTCCTTCAGGGAACAAGGGTTACATACGTAACCGAGACGTTTTTGGTCCTTGGGGAGTTAATCTTTTTAAGCTTAAAAAAGCTTTGGGAGCAGGGACGCGGGAAGTAGGGGTGCTGGGGGGGCTGCAACACCCCCTGTTTTCACATGGTTGCAAATGCAACGGCAAGTTTGTTCATTTGAATTTATTCAGTTTTAGCATTTAATAATTTATTTGTAATGATCTCTGAAATGTAAATCCCCCCCCCTTCACCCAACACGGACACACACAGCACCCCCAACTGAAAACATCTTCCCGCGCCCCTGTCAGGGAGTGAGGTTAACAGAAAGGGAGGCTTCATGCATTGATTTCACTTGCTCTGAATTATATTGATTGCATGCAGGAGTCCCTCCTGTATTTAACTGTAGTGATACTTGAGCTTGGAGGCAATCTGTGTTGTTTCATGATAAAATATCTGAAAGATCCTTTTATTTGCATCTAGCAGGAAAATCACAAGTGCAGATCTCATCTCTACATAAAGTATATAAATCTGTAACACAGATAAGGCCTGTCTTTAATGAAGAAGGATGTGGTTGATGTAAACATTTCCATGTCTTATTAATGACAGACTTCTGAACATGCGTTATTAATCATTACTTTGTAAAAACACGACCTCTGAGCAACGATGTCTTCTCTGAAACCAAGATAACTCCCTTCAAATATCAAGATAGATATTAATATCTCTCAAAATATCTTCAAAGGACTTCATGAAGATTCCTGTTTCGCTGAGTCCTTTGCTGCCATAACACAAGGTAATTTATATGCCTACTGCCTTTTTATTTACATAAATATTATATTTCCACTCATTTAGAGTAAACATTTTCGACATTTAGATCGTTAGCACTTTATTCATAAGTAACAAAAACCCATTCGGAATGAAATTAATCTTTTACTCTCCACAAGGGGTCTGATAAACCATCTGTTCTCAAAGTTATAGCAACACCCACTGGGTTTTATTAGTTGCTCTCACTCCCTCTCTCTCTCCAATCACCAGAGCTGCAGTCAAGGCTGGAGACACCATTAGGGCAACATATCAGTGCCGACCTTCATACACTTTTAGAGGTCCGGAACTTCCCCACAGTCTCCAGCTGATAGTTCCCCAATCCCCTGAACGCTTCGTTCATCTGCCTTCAATGCAACGCTTGCAGACGTCACACAGCTGGACTCATGCCCTTGTTTCCCTTTTCACACTCTATCTTGAATGTATTTATCAGTCGTTTGTACTGTACACTATTACAGTATATACAGTGGGTACGGAAAGTATTCAGACCCCTTTAAATTTTTCACTCTTTGTTATATTGCAGCCATTTGCTAAAATCATTTAAGTTAATTTTTTTTCCTCATTAATGTACACACAGCACCCCATATTGACAAAAAAACACAGAATTGTTGACATTTTTGCAGATTTATTAAAAAAGAAAAACTGAAATATCACATGGTCCTAAGTATTCAGACCCTTTGCTGTGACACTCATATATTTAACTCAGGTGCTGTCCATTTCTTCTGATCATCCTTGAGATGGTTCTACACCTTCATTTTAGTCCAGCTGTGTTTGATTATACTGATTGGACTTGATTAGGAAAGCCACACACCTGTCTATATAAGACCTTACAGCTCACAGTGCATGGCAGAGCAAATGAGAATCATGAGGTCAAAGGAACTGCCTGAAGAGCTCAGAGACAGAATTGTGGCAAGGCACAGATCTGGCCAAGGTTACAAAAAAATTTCTGCTGCACTTAAGGTTCCTAAGAGCACAGTGGCCTCCATAATCCTTAAATGGAAGACGTTTGGGACGATCAGAACCCTTCCTAGAGCTGGCCGTCCTGCCAAACTGAGCTATCGGGGGAGAAGAGCCTTGGTGAGAGAGGGAGAGACCTAAAAATGGCTGTCCACCAACGTTTACCATCCAACCTGACAGAACTGGAGAGGATCTGCAAGGAGGAATGGCAGAGGATCCCCAAATCCAGGTGTGAAAAGCTTGTTGCATCTTTCCCAAAAGACTCATGGCTGTATTAGATCAAAAGGGTGCTTCTACTAAATACTGAGCAAAGGGTCTGAATACTTAGGACCATGTGATATTTCAGTTTTTCTTTTTTAATAAATCTGCAAAAATGTCAACAATTCTGTGTTTTTCTGTCAATATGGGGTGCTGTGTGTACATTAATGAGGAAAAAAATTTAACTTAAATGATTTTAGCAAATGGCTGCAATATAACAAAGAGTGAAAAATTTAAGGGGGTCTGAATACTTTCCGTACCCACTGTATACACACCACTTGAGGGATCAGTAGTGCTAAGGTTTCAGTAGGGTTTTAGATAATACATTTAAACATCTTTCAGTTCTTGCAAGGGTACAGCTAATGATTCATAGCCATTCTTTTGTCAGGACCTCGTTCAGCAAAAGGTCGGGATTACATGGGATTATCCACAGTGGAAATTGCACATTTTGAGTGCAATATTATGTTTTTATACAAACAAAAGTTTCGGGTTGAAAAATCAACACTTGACTTCTAAATTTATTTTATGAGAATACAGTAAAAAAAACTGTAATATTGTGGAATAGTATTATGGTTTAAAATAACTTTTCTGTTTTTATATATTTAAAAAATTAAGTGGCTCATTTATTTTAATGTTGAAAACAGTTTTTGCTGCTTAATTTTTTTTTTTTTTGTGGAAATCATGATATACATATATAAAGTTTGGGAAAGTAAATAAATAAATAAATATGGGTTTCATCATTGATAATAATAAGAACCATTAATAATTGAGCACTAATAATAATTGATAACAACTGAGCCAAAATCATAATTATAGACTGATGTCCGATGGATCATGTGGCACTGAAGACTAGTTTCAAATTACTAAATGAACACTTTTTTTTTAAGGTGGGGTTATGGTTTGGGGAAAGAAATTATAATTCGCTCAGTATAAAAAAAAAAAAAGGATGCCTAAGGAAAGTTTCCATAATTATTATATGTGTACCAACATCTGTGTGTGTGTGTGTGTGTTCTGAAAGCGTCCCAATCGGGACACTAACAGATCTAAGAGTTCATTGTTCTGCTGGAGTTGTCCTAATCTCCTAATCAGGAGTGTATGTGAGACCATGAGTGCAACTCATGGTTTCTTTTTTCTTATGCACACCCACTCTCAATTCCCCTCTCGCTCTCTTTATATCATTCTCACAAACACCCTTGCGTTCAATTTCACTTATCTTTTCCTGCTCTCCTTTCATAGGCATACAGTCTGGCACAAGTAAAGGCCAGCCACACTGCTCAGATCCCAGCCGCCCATGCAACCCCTGTCTGGACGCCACCAAAGCCTGCAACCTGAATGAAAACTGCAAGCGTCAGCGTTCCAACTACATTTCCACCTGCACGCGTGCGCAGACCCAGGGCCAGCAACCCTCACAGCCTCAGTCGCAGGACAGCTGCAACAGAAAGCGCTGCCAGTTCAGCAAAAGGTCGGGATTACATGGGATTATCCACAGTGGAAATTGCACATTTTGAGTGCAATATTATGTTTTTATACAAACAAAAGTTTCGGGTTGAAAAATCAACACTTGACTTCTAAATTTATTTTATGAGAATACAGTAAAAAAAACTGTAATATTGTGGAATAGTATTATGGTTTAAAATAACTTTTCTGTTTTTATATATTTAAAAAATTAAGTGGCTCATTTATTTTAATGTTGAAAACAGTTTTTGCTGCTTAATTTTTTTTTTTTTTTGTGGAAATCATGATATACATATATAAAGTTTGGGAAAGTAAATAAATAAATAAATATGGGTTTCATCATTGATAATAATAAGAACCATTAATAATTGAGCACTAATAATAATTGATAACAACTGAGCCAAAATCATAATTATAGACTGATGTCCGATGGATCATGTGGCACTGAAGACTAGTTTCAAATTACTAAATGAACACTATTTTTTTAAGGTGGGGTTATGGTTTGGGGAAAGAAATTATAATTCGCTCAGTATAAAAAAAAAAAAGGATGCCTAAGGAAAGTTTCCATAATTATTATATGTGTACCAACATCTGTGTGTGTGTGTGTGTGTTCTGAAAGCGTCCCAATCGGGACACTAACAGATCTAAGAGTTCATTGTTCTGCTGGAGTTGTCCTAATCATCTGACAAGGAGTGTATGTGAGACCATGAGTGCAACTCATGGTTTCTTTTTTCTTATGCACACCCACTCTCAATTCCCCTCTCGCTCTCTTTATATCATTCTCACAAACACCCTTGCGTTCAATTTCACTTATCTTTTCCTGCTCTCCTTTCATAGGCATACAGTCTGGCACAAGTAAAGGCCAGCCACACTGCTCAGATCCCAGCCGCCCATGCAACCCCTGTCTGGACGCCACCAAAGCCTGCAACCTGAATGAAAACTGCAAGCGTCAGCGTTCCAACTACATTTCCACCTGCACGCGTGCGCAGACCCAGGGCCAGCAACCCTCACAGCCTCAGTCGCAGGACAGCTGCAACAGAAAGCGCTGCCATAAGACCTTGCGTCTGTTCTTTGAGCGTGTTGACACACAATACAGCTACGGGTTGCTCTTCTGCTCCTGTAAGGACCAGGCCTGTGCTGAGAGGAGGAGACAGACCATTGTACCCTCCTGTTCCTATCAGGACAAGACCAAACCCAACTGTCTTCAGCTGCGCAACACCTGCCGCCTGGATGTGCACTGCAGGTAGGCGAGTCAGTGCTTTTCATGATAGTCCTGAATCAAATTGACATTTATTCATTTACCAGATGCTTTTTATCTAAAACCACTTACCATAGCTACAAAACAAGTGATTAATTCTAAGAAGACCATCACATAATAAGGTACAGTTTCCATAAATCTGTAACTTTTGGATCTTTTATTTATAACCATGGCTTTCTGGCAATGTCTCCATGGAACAGCAACCACAAACTTAATGCAGGGAAAATTCCCTTGGATCTGGGGTTATAGGGATAGTTCATCCAAAAATGAATTTTCTGTCATAATTTCCTCTTCTTAATGTCATTCCAAATCTCAATGACTTTCTTTCTTCTGTAGAACACAAAAAGAGACATTTTTAATAATGTGCTTGTCACTTTTTTACATGCAATTACAATGAATGGGGACAGATGATTTAAGCTAAAAAACATCTTACAAGTTTACATTTACATTTTTTTTTATGTATTATAAAAGTACACTGAAAATTATCAATTTTCTCTCAGAAATTGCTAGTAAATTTCATGAACAATTACAAAGAAAGGGTAAGTATAACACATTGAATTAAACATGACATTTTGAAGCAGAAAACCTGAAATAGTATTTTCTTGTAAAATATAATAGAATAATCTGTTTTATTTATGATGAAAAATCATTTTACAGTGTAGTCCATACAACTTGTGTGCCATATTTGATATTATTTATTATAAGTCTTATATATTATAAGTATCTTAAGTGTTACCATGAAGTCATTATTCACCGAAAATCTTCTTTTCTGCCGAAAATCTTCTTTTCTGAAAAAAATATTTCAAGCTTCAAATGGACACAAAATAACAATAAAAGTATTATAAAATATTAACCTCTGTTCTTCACATAAAACAGCTGTATTGACTTTGTAAGATTTGGAGTAAATGTACTTTAGAGACATTCACTTTCATGATATTAAAAAGATTGTGCCCAAAAGTGCCCTCATAGGTTTTAAGGAAGAAAGAAAGTCATATGGGTGTGGAAGGTCTTGTTGGATTAATTGCTCTCTTTAAGTGCTTTTCTCAGGGGCTTTAGTAGTAATGTGCATTGTGCTCAAGGGTACGGTGGTGTTGGCTCATGGCTCACTCTTTGCTGAACCAGCAACCTTCCAGTTAACTGCTCTGGACCTTAACCACTACAACACCCATTTAACACACACTACATTTGAAGTACTTGTTAAATTGAATGTAAAGTTTATATTTGATGTTTGCTTAAGCACACCTTGCACTCATTTTCCATTTAATTTTAAGGTTATACACAATGCATTTAATGTTACTTTGAAATTAAAGCATGCTCTTTGCATCCACCATATTCTATTACTGCCTTGAGCCTTTGCCAGGAAAGTAATTGCAGACATTTTAAGAACCTTCTATTAGAAACAGAAGAGACTTTCTGCTTAATTGACAAGACAGTGTTCAATTAGGCTGAACCGAACATTAGTGCATCACTTTTACTGTGTTTCTCTGTGATTTAAGAGCCAACCGTTTTATTAACACAAGCTTATCCACTACCACTTACCAGTGGACCATTGCTGGATTACTCTGTCAATGCCTGTCAAGAAATCAGGCCTCTGTAGAATGAGAAGGTTTGGATTAAACACAGATTATAACAAAAACTACACATTATATAGACAGTATATATATATATATATATATATATATATATATATATACTGTATATATTTATTGTGTGTGTGTGTGACCTGCAGAAGTGTAGAGTAAATGTAATTAATTACTGTACTTGACTATCTTTTTGGATAAGCTGTAGTTTTACTGAGTATCAAAGCTTTAAGCAACTTTTACTCTCTACTTCACTATATTTTGTACAAAGTATCTGTACTCTTTACTCCACTACATTTGTAATGAGTGTTGCATTACACATTACATTTTGCATGGCACCTAGCTTTTTCTGCAGCAGTTTATTTCTGGTACAAAAGAAATGTTATCGCCAACTACAGGGCATTAAATGTACTATATCTTGTGTGTTTTGCCCTTACTCACCCAAACTTGTCAACAAGGCTACTTTACGTGAATGCGAGTTTGTTAGCAAGTAGTTGTGAATCACAGGTGTTTTATATATGAGATGACGACATGACTGCGAGGCCGAAACCAGCACATCTAGTGCAAGAAGGCTTTGACTTTTTAATTTTGCTTAATATTATTTTATTTATCCACAATACTGAAGAGACCTTTTTGAAGGATTTTGTTTTTGTTTTTTTGTTCAATTTTGAGGTGTTCAGTTTTATTTTGGTTTTAGAAAATTAACATGATTGCTCTCCTCACAAATACATTTTTTCTTGTTTTTCACAGGCATGTCTGTTTGACTAGTGCATCTTTGAGCCTATATTTAGTATAAGTAAAATACTTACATACTGTTAAAATCAGATACTCTAAGACTTGTACTCAATTTGTTTTGGAATTGGTGACTTGTAACTTGTAATGGAGTAATTTTCAATGTAAGGTATCTGTACTTTTACTCAAGTATGATCCAAGTGCTCCACATAGTAATTGAACACCTCAAAACATCGATCAGATGATATATTTCCAAGGCATTCTTCCGGTTTTTGTCCTTAAAATGCTCTTGTGAGTAGGATTAATTTCTAACGCCTCTTTTCCAACGCCTGCTTTGCTAATTCCAAAATGTCATTTTAGACCTAGCAATGGAGGCTTGAGCCATTGATAGCAATGCAGTTAATAATGAAGTTATTAGAGAGAGAGAGAGAGAGAGAGAGAGAGAGAGAAAGAGAGATTAAGCATATGAATGACCTCTGTGAGTCTGTGCGTCTCTCAACAGTGTTCGGCAGCAGCGTCTCTACTAATAGTGAAACTTTAAGTTCATTTTTTTCAAGAACAGCGCCACCGTTATCTCGCGTGTGAGAAATGTCATGTAGCTTTTAAGTTGCTAAATTATTTTATTGATAAAATCGTCAGAGTAGCGGTAACTACGTTAGCACATGTGTGTTTCCATGTGTGCAAGTATCTGTAAGCTACTGTATGTGTGTGCGTCTTTAAGAAAGAGAGAGCGGGAGAAATAGAGTATGTGCTTTCTGTACATAATAAAACGTAATTTTGTGGCAAAAACATGGAAATAATCTGTCGTTTTTATCCTATTGTTTTCTTTGCTTGTCCAGTGTCGTTGTGGGTTTTGGTTATTTTACTGTTTTAGGCTGTAAGGACCTTTGAAATAACAGATATCATTTGGCAAAGTGATACGGACATGTAATGTGGTCAAGACCTGCCTGGAACTACGTTCATTGTGCGCTTCCCTGAAAATAATTGCACACCTTAGAACTTTCGTCAGCCAATCAGATTCAAGCATTCAACGGCCCCGTAGTATATATATATATATATACAGGTGCATCTCAATAAATTAGAATGTCATGGAAAAGTTCATTTATTTCAGTAATTCAACTCAAATTGTGAAACTCGTGTATTAAAAAAAATTCAATGCACACAGACTGAAGTAGTTTAAGTCTTTGGTTCTTTTAATTGTGATGATTTTGGCTCACATTTAACAAAAACCCACCAATTCACTATCTCAACAAATTAGAATAATTCATAAGACCAATAAAAAAA